GCTGCATGCGGACCAGACTGAGCGACAGGCTGACCTCTGCTGCATGCGGACCAGACTGAGCGACAGACTGACCTCTGCTGCATGCGGACCAGACTGAAGCGACAGACTGACCTCTGCTGCATGCGGACCAGACTGAGCGACAGACTGACCTCTGCTGCATGCGGACCAGACTGGAGCGACAGGCTGACCTCTGCTGCATTCCGACCAGACTGGAGCGACAGACTGATCTTTGTTGCATGCGGACCAGACTGGAGCGACAGACTGACCTTTGTTGCATGCGGACCAGACTGTCGACGCAGTCTCTCAGCTGGCCGATCTTGGCGTCGAGCTCGGCCGCCTCGCGCTGCAGGCCGCCGTACCGCGTGCGCAGCGAGAGCGACGCCAGGCGGTCCAGCACAAGCTCGTTCTGTAGCTGGGTCACGGCCACCGCCCCGTCCTGCGGCACAGGTCATCGGTCATGCACTGACCGGGGGGAATCTGCGGATTCCGTCACTGCCCCGCGTTCAGAGAAGAAGTCGCACCAAGGATGGGATAATTGTTCGGACTTTCCTTCTCGTCTGGCGTGTTTATAGGTACAGAGTGCAAACACCCAAGGTGATGCTATCAATTTTAACAGTATTTTAGGTTATAGTATAGTGTCACTATGCTTTTATTAGTATAGCAGTACTATACTGTAACGAAATGCGAAAGCCGTTATATCTTTACGTTGTGTTTATAATTTGTTAACTTCCGTCCTTTGGCATGTCTTAGGACAGAAAAGCCGCTTCTTAGAATCACAGAGTTCCGCTCATTCTAGGAAATGTTCGCCGTGTCCCGGTAGCTCAGCTGATTGGCGCGTTCGTCTGTAGATTCCCCTTTCCCCCATGATGGGGTGAGGTTGCGTTCTCTTCAAGCGCTCGCAGTTTGCCCCTGTCTGATTGAACTGCGACCGGTGGCGGCGACCGAGCCGTTAAGGTCAGACGATGTTAGAGGGTAAAACAGACCGTGCCGAGAGTCAAGGTATGTGAAACTTCCGCACCAAAATTTTGCCGTTGACTTGAAATTTCACGATCACATGGTAGAGCTGAGACGCACGCAGCAAGACTTACTAAACGTGTGGCCTGGTCCAAGCGATTGTTTAATGAAAAGTTTCAAATAGTTAAACGAGCATGCAAAATTTAAATTCAGCATTCAAAGCTGTTATCCGCTTATGGTGATCCAGTCTCATGAACACAGGACACATAAAAACTTCGTGTTGGCGAGGCTGTAGGATAATTCAGACCAGTCCGACTGTGGCAAGCTCAACTGCGTGACCCCTCCAAAGCAGTCGATTGGAACTTGATCTGGTAATCCATAGCGCTGACGTTTCTTTTTTATTCAAGGACAGTGAGGATGCCTCTCTGTATTGATCTGGGCCTTCGAGGTAGCCTGGAGTTGATGAATGCCGGGGATCCTAGGCCAGCGCCACATCAGCTGCTTTAAAACGATTATTCGTATCTACCTCTGCGAGAAAATCCTGGTCATGTTGTCTACATGCATGGCTTTGGACAGTACAGATATTTCAAATGGTAGTTGTACCATGGTATCAGTACTTTGGATGCTAGCGTCTACGCCTTGAAGATATCTCAGTAGAAGGAACATCTTTGCTACAGCCTTAGCGGAGCAGTTATGCAACGGATGAAAATCGGACGAACAGGCGTGGTATTTGTGGCTTTCGTTCGAATTTGCAAAACCTTGTATCACTTTTGCACGCCTTCAGATTCGCGTCAACCTGAAATTGGTCCGAAAAAACAGCGTTTCGGGCATACACACAATGGAACATCAACGCATGGACCACTGGTATAACGCATGTATGAATTCACCAGTCCAGGATGAAACCAGTCAAGATGCGACTGATTTTTGTGAAGGTGAAACATAAAAAGTAGCATTCCGTTTTATACGGTTCTGTGCGCATGTACACAGGAGACTACATCCCTTACAAATAAAATGAGCAGCGGAGATGAATGCCATAAAAATTAAATGCTCAACTGCGTGTGGTTTGGCCAATTACAATGTAACGTCCTGCAGAACTGAGACTCCTGATGATCTCCTTCAAAAATCATCATACTTTTAACACGCATAAAAATCACGCAGTTGGACGCGTCGACGTTCATAACCGGCGTTGTCCTGCTTTGCAGTGACAACCCGGCGGAAGTCTTATCATAACATCTGACCACGACTCCCCAGGTGAACTGAAGTCGCCGTGCGCCGCCGTTGCAAGCCATGTCGACTCGTTCTCGATACGCTAGGCGACCTGGCAACTCGCAAGAATCTCAAGCTTCCGCCACCGAAGTTTGGCTTGCTCATCAACCTGAGCTCTCCAAACGGGACGCGCCGCTAAGCACGAGGCATCCAGTGTCTCCTAAATCATGGGAGTCAGCGTCTTCAGCCAGATCAGGAGATCGATAGGGACCTTTTACTCCCCGCCAGGAACACCGAATCGGACGTCTCGCGCCTGGAATCGGGCCAGACAACACGACCGCTCCGCTCTGTACATGGCAAACACCCCCGTGCTAATGAAATAATCCCGCAGCTACAGACGCGGCAGAGAGCGCTGCCAACAGCATGCACCTAGCGCCACCTATACCATTGCGGTACGCCAATCGACCTCGCAGGTGCTGCCATCTGCCCTCTGATCGGTCGCTGAGCGATGGCTCACCTGCGTAGCTGCCAGTTTCGGGTCAGCCGGCGGCTTGGGCGGCAGAAAGGCTGCGACGGCGGGCCGGCCGACCGAGGCCGACGTCCATTCGGGCAGTGTCTCGGCGTGACGCACCAGTGACGTCACGTCGGCCCGCCCGCTGACGCCACGGCACAGCGAGCAGAGCGACTCATACCGCCGGCTCCGCTCCACCGTCTGCAGGGTAGGAGGCGAAGTTACCGCGCTGAAGCCAAAATTCAGTCACTGTGACTTGTATCACCGACTCCTCGCCATCGGCTGTAAACACTGGCTCGCAAGTATATGACACTAGTAGCTCATTCAGTGACCAGAAAGCCTCGTATTGTCGCCGTCGTCATTTGACCGTCTGTCCAAGTGGAAGTGTACGCGGTGTCGTCAGGCCTTAGAGCACACCATCGAACGGCCGATTGCCGCCAGAGACTCTGCCTCACTGCAACCTAATGATTACTTTCGATTGTGATGTCGCTTGATGGTCTTGCTTCCTTCGTTTTTCCGGCAACGGACAGCAAAATGATATTTTTATGTCATGTTGCATTGTGGCATAAGTGTGCGGGACAGTGCGTGGTGAGAACAAAGTAAAAGTTGTACAGAGATCGCAGTTAAAAATGCACACCATCTTACAATTGCGTGCAGTCCATTAGATCAGTTTCAGATCTCACTCAGATAAACACTTGTCTCATAGCGCCTTAAAGGTTGTTGAGTTCATCATTGACACCGGTTAATACCTACATACTGTTGTCTCACAACACATTCAGAACGAAAGCTGAAACATAAAGCCGAAGATATCATTGATAGATCGCCAAATAAACGCTTCAAAAAAATTCACTGTTTGCACAACCAGACACAAGTTTTGAAGAATGCTGCAAGCCTACGGGCATCGGAACTCACTTCTGTTAAATTTCATGTCATCTGATTATGGGCTCACTTCACGCATCCAGATGACAAAAGAAGCGGTTCTCAAATTTGTAAGCCGTTTGTGAAAACAGCCCAAAACAGAATAGGTTAAATAGATGCCGGGCCAACTCCGAACCGATCCATTTTCCGCTGACATGTTTGGAACTTTGTGTATCGTGGCGAAACACTTAGCTCCTTAAGAGACCACCGGCCTATTTTAGAAGCGGCATCCATTACAGCGTGACGATAAACAGTGCGTTATCAGCAGCTTGATCTGAGCGAGCCCTTATCCACATCCCAACCGCCTACAGTGCTCTTGGGGATGTTTTAGAAGACCGGTCATGTGAAAAATGCAAATGCTGTTTGATTTTCATGGCTCCGATTGTAGCGCACGTTTCCCGCTTGTATCAAGAATGAATACAACTTAAAAGCAGAGCCTACGTAAAATGGTAAGAGCGATGCGAATTTATTTACCTTACATGGTTGTGCAGTGAGGACAAATGCATTACATGAACGACTCCAACGCACAGATCATCGTTTATCCTCAAGTCAAATCTGGTGCGGTGAGCGGAAACACTTCGTGGTGAAAACAGCTGTTTGTCGAGCGTGGCAAAGTTCGTATCTGACATCACATAATCCTAGTACCAAACATGGGAATAATGCCGGTTGTCACTCCCACCTATGATCAGTGTGGCATTAACTTCATGGCAACGCATGACAATAATTGACTTCGAAAGTTAGTTTGCTGCCCTGACTTTTCGTAATATACTGAAATCTACGTTTAGGACATTTCCAGTACATAATCATAGGGTCTTGACAATTCGTTCATGGATATCATTCACTTTCCATGTTCACTTTTCCACGCTTCTACGTTTGCGGGGTATAAAATTGCATCTTGTTTCAATATGTAGGTTTATCTTATTTTAGTGAAGTATGTACTTTACCGTTGAACAAATTTTGGTATCACTGGAACGATGAAATACACCAGTTACTTTCCCTGATTCACCGCGGCATTGTGAGATACCCCTTATCCGCCTTCGTACTGGTCTTTTTCTGGCATCGCCGTGCGAGTTTGGCCGTCCGACTTCACCACCGCGAGCTCGCGCACGAGCACTCGCCCAACAGCACCACGGCTGTGCAGCTCGGGCAGATGTTCGGTGAAGCGTGTCGCCGACAAAGGGAGTCGGCCAACTCCGGCAGTCGACCGCGGGAAAGACGGCGCAAACAGAAGGCGCACCGAGCTCCCGCGGGGCCCGACTGGCCGGGGCCGGCCGGAATACAGCCACGTTTTCTTGCGCTATTGTTGGCAACAAGCCCCGCAGAACAGCAGGCGTCACGGGGCGAAAACGACGCTAGACGACGCGCGCACGCCGATTGACACGATTTCTTCTGCAAACATCTGAAACTGGCTGCCGTGGGTAGTGACTAGCACTGCCCGCAGAACATCCAGCCAGTACAGCGCAGACAACGGAAATCGTACGCAGCGTATCTCGTTCAGCGCGTGACGCATCGGGATAGCAATAGTGTTTTACATAACCTTGATTTGTTCCATTATGAAAGCGTCATTACCACATAAAAAACATCGAAATTGCATCCCAAATGAGCTTGAGGGATAGCGAAAACTCTAATCTGCCACATCCCATGTGGGTATAGCACACACTGATCAGGCATTATGGTATGCTTGCGAGTGCCTCAGTATGCCGACCGATGTACTGGCCTGAGGTCATGGTCGGCACGGAGAGGCGTGGTGCAAAACGCTGCACTGCCTCCCGCCGGCACACGGTGATGATGCGACATCATACTGGGTTTCAGCTCATTTAGTTTCAGTTCAGCCGTGTTAGTAATCTTATACTCATAGCAACGAAACAAGTCTCATACCAACACGATGCAGATTATCTGCAAAATGATGATTCCGTGGCCGTCATTGCATTGACTTCTTTTACGTCTTTCGTTCAACAACGCCTTCCCGTGTCGCACTGCGCGGTGGCGCCGAGGCCCAGTGATCTGACTCCCGAAATTTAACTATATACAGAATATATACCAATTAGGTTATTGTCATATTTGCCATATTTGAATCAATTTATGACATAACATGATTGATTTACATGCAATACATGATTCCTATATAGCAGCAATTCATGATACTATATCCGAATCACGAAAGTGCCGATAGTGTATTGGTTAACGCATATGCGTTTATCATTGCGCGTCTGAGAAACCAGAGGTACGGGGTTCAACTCTCTGCGGTACCCACTCACTGCCGGGGTGAGATGCAGGCAGCGCCACATAGTCTCAGCAGCTGAGTGCGTCGAAAGCGCAGATGACATGCCACACTTGTTTCGTTATAATAATGATAAGATAACAAACACGTCTTTTACAATGCAAAATAATGCTCGGCAACGCACTTAACTACATACAATTCAGCTTAAATTTCCACATCTAACTTGCGAGTATCCACTTCCTAACATATCAGCTGGCTGACGTTAAAATCGTCCGCGAAGCTTTGCACGGAAAATACGGAAAAATGATGCCTCGCAACGCATGCTGAGCGTAATGAGTACCACATATTTTTCTCAGTGGTTCTGGAAAGTGGTTAAATTATGCATGCTATCAATTCTTTATGGTCTAAGGTCATTGTCATTTGAAGCCAAGGTAACATTGCGCTTGATCAAAAGAACCACTAAAAATCTGCCCTCAGCCCTACAAAAGCATAAACCAAACTTACAGAAAATTATAACAGATGATGTAAGATCTGAACCGTGTCAAGTTGGGTCAGGACATCAGACTGTCCAAAACATTGCTGGTGGACATTACACAGGGAAGTAGCATCATGGCGGACAAAAGTCCGCAAGTGCAAGTTCATCCGAAGTCGAGGCCATCAAGAGACGCAGAATGAGCTCAGGTCACCCACGATGCCCCTTATAAACGTCTTAATATTTATTTAACCTTTGTTACAGTCAGACCTCTGATGTCAATACTACACGAGGTTTATAAAAATAAGTCAAATGCGCGGCAATGAAAGGCTTTCTAGCCAATCATACTGCTGCTGATTATGTTTATGTTATTAGGTGCAGCTGGAGGACAAAAGTGTCCCATACAAAAACTGTAGCATTTTAGACTGACCTAAAGGTCAACTAAGGTCAACTTAGGCCACATTTAGAGTCATCCAAAAGAAAAGAAATGAAGTGCTAATTAGGTATAAGTGGCCAGCGCAATGCTACTCTGTGGTTAGAAAAAGTGTGTTGTACATCCGCATGTACTTAAGATTGCAGAGCTCTTGTAGTAGTTATACATGGTCCGCTCGACGCTTATCACTGCATTTGTAACAAATTAAGTACAGGTACGTTGGTACGTAAAATTATATGTCATCAGCTTTACAAACAAAATAAAAAAGTCAACCACGAAGGTCACACTCGTTTATCTAGCCTCTCCGTGACTGACAACACAGGTCATTGACCTTAGCTGACCTCAAATTATCTTGCATGTCCTCATCTGACCTATTGTGTCCATCCATAGAGAAAGGTCATGACCTAGGCCAATTTTAAGTGCTCTGTGATCATATGATGGCTGCGATGTGAGGTAGTACTCTTTTCCTTACAGTGTTGTGATCATGATGTGGCTGCGATGTGAGGTAGTACTCTTTCCTTACAGTGTTGTGTGATCATATGATGGCTGCGATGTGAGGGAGTACTCTTTTCCTTACAGTGTTGTGTGATCATATGATGGCTGCGATGTGAGGTAGTACTCTTTTCCTTACAGTGTTGTGTGATCATATGATGGCTGCGATGTGAGGTAGTACTCTTTTCCTTACAGTGTTGTGTGATCATATGATGGCTGCGATGTAGGGGTAGTAGTCTCTTTCCTTACAGTGTTGTGTGATCATATGATGGCTGCGATGTGAGGTAGTACTC